AGTGTGAGTATGTGTGCACGTGGTGAAACACCAAACCATTGTGCAAGGATCTTGACAATAAAGATGTACCTTACCTTAAGTTATGTGTCTCATGGCAAACTGTTTACTTGTGGACAAGCCAGGTGACATCATATAAGACAGTCTAAGTAAAAGCAAGAGTTTAATGCCGTTAAAGGTAACCAAATTAGATATCTTCATTTTAATTACCACGACCATCCAAAAATAGAAGAAAAAAAACACAATTCATCAAAACCACAGATAGACAGCTAGAGATAATGACAGAGACAAAGATCCCCTACTCTCCACCCCCCGCCCCCCCCAAAAAAAAATATGTTATATACATGTGGAAATTCATTAATTTTATCTCTTTTTCCTCTTCGACGACACCAACACTCCTATAAAACACACCCCACCCCGCGGGACAACCCCCTCCCCCACCCCCCAAAAACTAATAGATACACTTTAAAAAAAATAAGAAATGAATTAAATCTGTTTTCACAAAATTACAAATTAAAGAGCCCACTTACCTCCTCCTTGCACGTAGAGGTCCCGAAGGTTTCGCTGGAATTTGTCAGGGTTTGTGGTCACCAGGACAGGACCCACAACTGTTGACATGAAAAGACACAAGGTTAGAGGTTAAAAGTTTTTAGTTTTAGTTAGAGTTTTACGGCACTTGCAACACAATAAGGCCATATATTCTGTCTGTTCCTGATGTCTAGTCGTCCCCCTTGACCATAAAGCAGGTCAAACATTTGCTGAGGAGGAAGAAATACCACAACATGACGCATGTCCTTAGCTTTAGACAGTGGTTTACGGCACTTGCAACATAATAAGGTCATGCAAGTTTTGAAGATTAGAGGTGTTACAAGAGAGTAACAAACACAAAAAAGAAGGAGGAGAGATCAGGACGGTAGATGTTTGATAGGAAAGAAGGAAGGAGCAAAGCACACTAGAGCACCCGCTAACCACCCGCTGGGGTCAAAAGATGATACGTAACAAGGTCACGGAGTACAGTGATATGTAAGGTAAAAGAAAACTTCTAACTTCAAATTCATTAAAGACGTGAAAACAACAGAGAGTCGGGGTTTTTTTTTCCAGATGTAACCATTATTTGAGATAAGATAAGACAGACCCTGAAACTAAAAACTTGGAAGATAAAAACGTTTCGTCTTTGACAAATCTCAGCATTCGTTTTTCTCCCGGGGTCACTATAAATGATAAGAAGTCACCATTACAAACGAAAAGATAAAATGAATTACAGTAATTAATCATGATCGAACGCTTCAATAGATTCGAGACAATTATTTTTAATTTTTGCTTCATTTTTTTCAGATTTTATTTACCGTTGAAATTGACGCAAAGTTTAATGTTATTTTTAAAAAAAAATATAATGACGAACTTGATCTACATCCTTGCACGCAAGCTAGAAGGCAGTTTTGTTTTGTTTTTCCTTTGAAATATCTATTGAGTCTATATAACTCTTAATACTGTTTTGTTAGTTGGTTTCTTTCCACTAGTTTGCTTGGGTCCTTATTCTAGTGTGTG